CCATTAATTTATAACACTCTAGCTGTAACCGGAGATAAAAACTTTGAAACGTATAATTTTGATTTCATTTTAACATTGAAGATAATATTTATCATTCTGGTGTGTAATTTTGTTTTTTATGAAGACTATCTATGTAAACATCTGGTGAATAGAATGCTTTGGTGAGCCTTAGGGGTGGTGTTGAGGCTAGGAAAGAAAGTTTTTCTCACATTATGCCGCGAAGATTTCTATGAACTCATCACGAATGATGTGAAATATGGCAAGTTTTTGACTACTCTTTGCCATCCCATATAGTCAATGGCTTATCTGATCTAGTCAAGTCTGACAAGATTCATCACGAATAGAAGCCTAACCCTATGATTAGGGCCTATTTATTATATTTATGCCGCCTTTTACCAAGGATCACAGAATACACAGAGCACAATATATCAAAAGCCTGCAATTGGTTGACAATTCTGCAAACCCAATGTGTGTTTAGTAAGTTAATGAGGTATTTACCAAATTGATAGCTTTTAACTAAGGAGTAAATAAAATAGTATTTTAAAAACGACACTAAGAGAAATTACAGGGTCATTATCGACAAGATTTATGGAAAATGAATCAATGAAGTTGTTTTACTTTTGTAAATGATGTTTTATATGTGCATTGCATTTCAATTTTGACTATCTAATTACTCTCAATTGGGCCCTTACTCCTAATCTCGTATTTAACGATGTAAATTTAAGTTCTCTTCTTGATATCTTCTCCCTATTGTCTTGTAAAATTATCTTGGCATTTAGTATTTTTTGGTTATTACTAAGTTTTTAAATTTTTGAACAATATTTGGCAAAATGAATATAATGATTTTAAAAATATATATTGCTTATTTGGATTAATTCTTAACATTTACTCATTATAACTTAATTTGCATCTTAAAGGGACTCTGGTACTTCAATACTCTAAATCTAATCAAGTGAAGTAAGTGAATTGATTTCATTTTACAAATTTTCAAAAGTGCATACTCCATTTTCTCCATATTTGCAATGTCGCTTACAAGGCGCGTAATTTTTTCAAGCATTTGGGATTCACAGAAAAGATGGCTGATATCAAATGACGCAAAAAGGCAAAACATCACAACATGTATATGATTTAATACTTTATTTAAGTCCCTGGAACACCAATGGCGTCTGCCAAAAAACTGGAAACTAATTATCCTCCTCAAAAGTGTATTTTACATGTATATGTTCCAGAAAAAGTATACAATGGAACACTGGTGATTCCGGGTGATTCTTATTTTCCATGGACTTTTGCGCTTTTGCGGCTCGCTCTACTATGGATATGACTTTATGCTTCATACACACAATTTAAAAAAGTGAATAAAATAAATTTGACCCATTTTAACATACTCAGTCTGTTCAAAAGGTTTCAAAAAGTGTGTTTTACTTTCCCAATTTTTAGAATGTGTAAGATTGTATATCGTTTTACTGGCGCTGCCCCTTTGCAGAGTAAGATTATGTGCATGCACTATAAATGGCACACTGGTTTTAGTGTTCATTTAGGGCTTTACAAGACGAGGTGTTGAATGAGAAAGGTATTTCTTCTGGACATCTGGTGGTTTGTTGTAACAAAAGTGAAGTTTGTTGGACATCCAGTAGTTTGATGTGTGGTCTCTCTACTAATTAGATTACAGTGTTATTTCTGTGAACATTGCCCTCCTACATAACACTTTCTATTCTTAATACAAGCCCCTAAATGAAAATTCTCGATGGACAGTTTTAACGTGTGAAATATTCTGGAAAATATTTTAATTTGCATCAAGTATCATAAAAATGCAAGACATCGTATTGAAAACCATTGCATCAGACACTTCATTCGAAATAAGGTGAAAATCGTATGCAGAAAGCATATCAAGGGTGGCATCTTTAGCACTGGTTGGATCAGCTCACCCCTAGTCTGGTTTACACATGGTGCTAAGTAGATTTGATGTTGGGTAATCGGGAGTTCTTTTAGCAGTTTCTGATGTACATTTATCTAAGTTCGATGTACTTCATTCTGTTTTATGATCTGTTTACCATGTTTACCTGTTTTCGTATTTTGTTTTATAAACAGCTGCGTTTCAGTTGGATTTGCTAAGCGAAACTGAATAGACTTGTATTTTTGTACAGCAATTTCTCTTCTTTCATGTTAATTTAGATTTCCTGTATATTGTGCCGTTATTGCTAATAAATGCTGTCAAATGAAATATATGACTGATGAACATAGGTGAAATTCAATGTTATCTCAAATCTGATCTTCAAGCATAGAATTAAGAACATAAAGGAACTACATTGACGGTATAAATGAGAATTTTGTATACCATGAGCCTCAGTTACCGTTTTTAAATAATGTGTAACTTGAGAAAGGGGATGTAATATAATGATATTGTACCTCATGAATTATTTGCTAATATAATGGACCCTATTTTTCATTTCAACTCGCCTAATTTCAAATTGCATTACATTACAATATTCCAGATGTTTGAAACAATTTATTAAAAACATTAAAGGGCGACTACACTCAAAATTCAAATTCTCAGACCACCCGTGGTGAGTGACATTGCCTACGTCACATCTCAACTGGAACAATTCAATCATTACCTACTTCCGGTTTCTATAATTTCATAAGGTGTACAATAATGAATATATACGATAATGTGGTAGCACTGTACGCTCTATTACGTTGCCATTCAGTACTCAGTAGTCAATTCATCTGCGGTTACAATATTGTAGGTTTAATAGACTGCAAATTTACTGACGGTTTCTACTTGATAGATTCGCCTTTTATTCTCTCTGAAAAGTTGAATGATTTTCAAAAGATGGAATAGCTGAAATCCTTATCTCTGTAATCTCTATCTCCTGACAGCTCGGGACGTTACGATTTTGTATAGATCGTGAATGCCTATAGTCAAATTGATTGCAATTGGACTTTTGAAAAGATCGTCATAAAGTGAGATTTGATTGTGTTGGTAATTTTTGCTTCAAGTGGTTGTGCTCGAAAACAGTTAGTCCTGTAAACAGATAAACACTCTGTCATACGAAACATATTTCATGCGCATTTACACATCTTAAGTCTAGTTTGCATGAAATGTTTCACTTGAGCTGCTACACTACAGGCAACTGAATGTTCTCAATCTACTTGGCAGCCAAAACTATAATTGTGCCTTTTTCAGCCGAGCACCGTGGGTTTCTTTCCAAGGGCCTCAAAACAGCAGATAATGACAGCTCTTACTACTTGAAAGCAAATAACATCATTATTTGCAAAAATGCTTTATTTATCTTGTTGTGTGTTCTGGCTCGCTCAAGCAAATGAAGCGATGATTTTAAAATACTATTGCAATTCAGAGATATTTGATATTTTGCCTTGATTTCAAAATTGTGCATTTGTTAATTCTGGTTATCATTGTGATGTTCACCGATTCATTGCTTCGAATCCGTTCTTGTCCTTTGATCAGTAAAGATTCACGCCTAATTATCATATCATACCACCATATTTTGCATTCGAATGGCTTCTGTCGAATTCAGTAGTGTGAAAAATTTGCAAATCGTGTCAAATGTAATACGTTCGTTACTCAAGATGTAATAATGTTTTCATTTATCATTTTGCGTACCATTATTATCATACCAAGTAGTGACCCAGACGATGTGATTTAAATAAAATTGGTTTGATGGTAATCCTCTTATCATGGACTATCCTAAAATATAAAAACTTCTTGATTTAAAGATTCAAATTTTGAGTTACATGTGCACTAGTGTTAGAGCCATCAAGTGAAATATGAATTTACATAATTTAGAAATTAGTGGGCAGTAAAATAAGTCAAACGCAATAATCTTAACATGTCACGAACATGTATGTATGTTTCATAATGATCACTCAAACCCTTCAAATACAAATGCAGAGCCCCTGTGTAAATTTATTACGAACTGACCCGGTGAGCAACTGAGCATTCACATGTCCATTAACATATATTAGGTTAAGGGTATGCGCTATTGATGTGTTTATTGTTTGGTAGGGGACAACTATCCAAATTTGCTCTCGGGCTTGGATACAGTAGCTGGACGTACCCAATAATACTTGACTCGTGCCTTTGACAGTTATAACATGCTGTAATGCCTACAAAGACTCGTGTTTGTGAACGTATACAAATATTTTACCTTTCTAATCTGGATTTACGCCTTACATCAAAGCCTCTATAAACAGGTGGAACTCCTGAATGTAATCACATCACAGTAATCCAAAATATAAAATTCATTCTCTTTGTCATTTTATGAGTTAATAGGTTCGAAATAGGTTTACCACTTTTCAACTAGTCCCGAGGTTATAATGTTAACGAATGAGAGACCCTTGAGAGATTAGTACTTTATCCATCCCACTTCAGATCGCCTCATCCTTAGGGTAGCGAATTACCCTAAGGCCTTTGATCTTTGCTAGGCTGAATATGAATGTTCCGTAGTTTATACCTTATATATGTACGTATATAATTGTTTGCTATGACTAATAAGGTAGTAATACTATATAAGGCTTATGCCAGAATTGTTTGAAATCAGAAAATCGAATTACAAGTGATCTGACATAGATTGACATTTGAATGTAAATACTACCTGTAATGAAGAGACAAGCTCCAAGTGGGTTAACCTAAAGACAAAAATAGAAGTCAATTTATCTGAAGTGCCCCCACCTGCTCATTTTGTTTCCAATTATTGTAGCCAAGTTATTCTAAGAATAGCTTTATAGGCCCGGTTATAATCTATGTAACCATTTGATCATCACTGGACACCCCTCCCCCAACAACAGTTTCCACACAATCATACAGTATCGTTTAACATATTTTGTTGATAGTTGTTATTTAAAAAACGACTTTTCATTTTTAAAATAATTAATCAAATTGCCCAAATATTTATGAACTGACATTTTTTATATATTTCTGAAATGTCACATCCAACATATCTTTTGTCATGTCATCACAATAGAAACAAACATACTGATTAAATTTAGTAATTATATTTACAAAATAATATACATTCTATGAATAGAGGTATAACATTGCGATCACATAATCTCATTACAATCTTCATTACATTATTGCGTTTTAACTCTCGATTTTACATTTTTTACAAATCGGTTGAAAATATATTTTAACAATATATTTATTTAATAATCCACTGACTCGTCCTTTAAGCTATTTCCATTTCCAAAAGCACTAATGGGAAATGGGAAATAATATTTCGGCATTACCTTCGCACAATGCCATCTGCCAGTGTCAATTACATTTGACGTTTTGGGTTATCATTCTCGAGAATGCCATTCCCTTAAACATAAATTGTACATTTCTTAAATATGATATATTAACTCTATACAATCTCAATTACATATTCTCTTGAAAATAACATATATTTCAAGCTTTTGACATGTTGTTTACACATATATAATGTTGACCTACTTTAATTATTATCGCATTAAGTAGGTATTTCCACCATTATACAAACTATATAATCTTAAATTGAGAAATAATTCCCCAAAGTTAAAAATTTATTCAACATTGGCAAATAATCTTTCCTCGATCAAAGTTTTGTTTATTTTGGATGAAACATATTTTTAGATCATTTTACATATGAACACAGTACGGGAGAAGTATCGTGCATCATATTGCGGCATTTACCATATAGTTTTGATGCTAGTCAGTGATGGCTAGATCAAGGGATATCAAATTATACACATTCCAGGTGAAACTTGATTGGAAATGGCCTCTTAGTCTTTTGAAATGTGAGCAGGTTATTTTGTATTAGATTTCAGCCTAATGTAGTGTCGTTGGGACTGTGGTGTCAATGGCTAAAGTCGAGTGGCAGAAAGATAAACTTACCTTACCTGAAAAACGCACTACAAACAATGAGCCACATCTTGTTATGTTTGAATGAAACGATAACCTTTCCCCAAACTTGTAAACCAATATCTTGATTCATAAAGTCTTTTTGAAACCTTTCAATTTTTCAAAGACTCTGAAGTATTAACAGGTATTTTCAATATTTAGCACCACGTTAACAAGTGTTTGCTTGTTTCAAATACTTGTCGATGAATTAATAGAAGCTCGAAATCAAATATCAATAGTGGAGATGACAAATGTTGACTGCGAAATAAGGAGATAATGGCGGAATACGCACTTGAAAAAGCGAATACCCTAACACATAGGGAACATCGTCATTACAGAAGAACGTTTGATAATGGCAATGGTATTCATGAGTGAAAGTTATCAGATCCCCTTGAACTGTTTAAAGCAATTCTAAAACTAGACAATGGCATGGTGCACATTTAGCCAACCAGTTATCCCAAAATACAACAAAACAGATATTTGAACATTAACATTTACAATATAGATCAGAATCAGATATTAACTATTCAGTTACACTATTAATCGCCTCTTAGATAGATAAGTCCGTGTAAAATGTTGATTAAATTGTAAACATTATTTAAGGAAACAAATTTAAAGTGCTTATAATCTGTTGCTTAAGATCACGAGAAATAAAAAATTCAAATACAGAATTGTGAATTAATAAAAAAAGATTAAAAATAATTCCAACAAAATCATCGGAATGAACACTAGCTAATATTTTCAGGTTAACGCCATCTTGATTTAAGAACTAAAATAAGCTACTGTTTTAAAATGAAACCTTTAAATGTGGTTTGTTTTATTACCTAAATTATCGACTCATTGCCTCTAAATTCTTGAGTCAATATATATATTTGAATCTTCTCTAGGTTTATTGTTTTCATGGAGACAAGAAAGTGTGCGGACTGAACCACAAGGCACTTGAGACAAGTATCCACATTTAGTTCTAAAAAGATGAAATAAAATTGAAAAGAATTTCAAATATGACTTAAAACATTTACTAATGGTAGAGAGGGACACCACATTTCCTGTTAAAAGACAACATTTTAACTTCAGACAGGATCGATTTTCACAACATACTAAGGCAGCATAAAAATAGTCTGAACTAAATCGTGTAACAAACACTTAAATCCAACCAAGAAATGTCAAGAATGAGGAGATATGCTATTTTCTTTGGATGCACTGAGTGGATGCAGCGTTGCAATGCAATTACGCCAGACTTTAGAACACCTTTGCGTTCAACCTTTCTCTCCTAAGTTGAAAAACTACTCAAATATTTCACATATATCACTTGGAATTCTTCAACCGACCAACTGTGTTTAAACGAAATACTTGGCAAAGTCGTCTCACATCATATACAATTACTTACTTATTTTCTTCTAGGCCCAGCATATTATTTGCCCCATTTTAATGAATAAATACTGCATAGAGGTTTATATTACATAAAATTGCATAGTTTGAGTTTCGTGGCAGATATTGTGTTGGGCCTAATAACGATTTTCATCGACATCCACACCCTTCCACAACCATTTCTTGATAGTTTTTTAGAACCACCTTTTCCTTCTCGTCAATATAGAGCATAGATATAGCACTAAGGTCGGTTGGAACACAGCATGCCTGCGGAACGGCACTTGGATCCACAGAGTTTACTAGGGTCTGTACTATTGCATGGTTTGTGGAGTTAAGATGGTCTGCCAACGGGAAAGGACACTTTCCTTTGCAATAATATGCTTGATACCCCGGTGGGGCAACAATCCAGTCGTTCCATCCGACGTCCTTAAAATCAACATACAAAGGATGTCTTCGGCACTCCTCCGAACCTTTGTTTTTCCTCTGCTTCCGTTTGTGCACTCTCCTGTTACGTTTTTGTTGATTTGTACCCCTACGAGTCCTTTCTCTATATAATTTTTTATCATCACTATAAGTTACGAGAAGAGGTTTTTTGGCATTCCATGATTTTTCATTCGTATTAACTGCCCTCCTGAGTCTAAGATGTGTGTGTATTTTGGTAGAAGGTTGGCCTCGGTGGTCCGACAGTCGCACCTGAAGGCCGTGATTTAAACTTGGAGACTGGCGCCATTTTAAAACTGCTGGATGAACGTCAAACGTCTCCCAAGAGATATCCTTAAAGGACACTGTCCTTGTGTCTAATAGTCTTGTGATTGCCACAGTATTTTTTGTTGCTGGCTGCATAATTTCGTAAATATCTATTCTATGTTTTTTAAATAATTTGTTTCGCTGTGATAATTGTGACTCGGATTCGATATTCTGAATATCTTCTCTTAATAATCGGATCTCCGCCGCTGTAATCTCCTCACTTTCTGGTATGTTTGTAACGTTAAAATACAAAAGTTCACTTCCATCTTCAGTATTGTATTCACCACCTCCTTTATCAGGCGGGTCTGAAAAAAGATTTAAATTTGTTTAATGGTTCTATATTCGCAAAGATGGAGCCCATATTTTACAATGGCGACAACTTGATCTAGGTCAGATTAAGATTGGAGATAAAATGAATACACGTACCTTGGTGTTGAAAACTGCGGGCTGTGTTGGCTGTACTGGTTAACTTCCCTTTCAAGTTGAAGTTAATATCTATATCTTCACCTTCCTTGGTGTGTTGACGATATAAATCCAACATGTACTGAGGTATATGTATTTCTGTGCTGGGACGGGGACGTGAATTTAGTCCAAACATTGTCATAAGACTTTTTTCAAACGCCTTTACTGCTTCCTTATTCTCTGCACGGAGCTGCGATACGGAGAGAGTTCCTTTAGATTGTGTCTTCTTATCTTCGGTTAGTGGTACATGTTGCGTCACCCCGACGGACGCTATCGTCAACAGTAGCAGCAGCAGCGTCTTAACTGTCTTTGCCAATCTCATGATGTTCGACACCTAACAAAAATAACATAACTTTACTGTAAATGCGTGACCATGTCAATGTGCGTTTTTCTTTATATTAATGTGTCCCTGTGATCGAAACTCTGCAGTGTACTTGAACGGTATGTTAAGTTTACAGTCCCAGACAACAGACTTCGGGTACCTAATGAAGAAATAAACCATATCCGATTAGTGTACATGAGTCATTGGTCAGTGCTGTGATAAATGATCATGGTAAAGTTAAATTCAATGATTGGTTATATTAGTAGGTGGCAATATTAGAGAGAGTCACCTTTCACGTCCGGAAGTCAGTTAGGCGGTGGGCCCCAACGGGCAAATCAACGAAGCAAATATATTCCAATTCACACAAGATAGTGTAGTACATTATCACACTAATTATTACTCGATAAAGAAACTATTACGATTTAATCATCATTTACCTGATAGTACCTATGGGCGACTAATATTTTCTATTAATATTTGTAATCAGCAAGTGAAACACTGTTATGGTATTCGATCATACTGATTTACACCAAATATGGCATCCCACGTGGAGAGGCCATCTGACCTTTAAGACAAATATGTGCTTATCATATTTAAATATTTCAATTTTATCGCTATTAAATTTCATTCCTTTCAATATAGAGCTTACTTTATTCCATTAAACTTGATTTTTAAATCCTGTTTCAGCAGATCATCTTCTTATAACAATCTTTGTGGTTAAATTTAGGGTGGGATATATTTGATTTTTATAATGATCTGAAAACTGATATGGCCGAGGGAGATGGATTGCACTAATGATTAAAGAATTCAATTGGTTTGAACTTTTTCAAATGTGCTTATTCTTGATAAGATTGCTAAATATATTGGTTTCGTAGTGTATTACGTACCACACAACTTCAAATTTATATCTAAAACGATGGCTTAAACGAAGAGCTGATGTCTAGATAATGCAATTTAAAATGATTTAATACTCCAATTACGTAATTCCAAAAATAATTTACCCTGAAATATTTTAATTTGAAAATTGGCAACAGTGTGAATGAAATGCGCCTGTGAATTACGGTTGTGCCTACTTTTGTGTGTCAGTTCATCGCTCCAAGTACTTAAGTTGAGCTAAAGCAGATGGCTTTGGTATGCCGTTTTCTCTTTGATTACCCTTAATGCCTTCTAATTACAACATAATGAAGTTTATCGGTCCATCATATTGTGTAAACTTTGCCGGATGAGCGTGAAATTGATACGCGGATCACATTCAATTAAGGAGGGAATCAAATTCAATTAAGGGGTGAATTAATTGCTGACATTGAAGCCAGATTTGGACGAGAGTCAATAGCAATAAGTGAATTTGAAGCGTTTGTTATCAGCTTTTCATTAAAATAACATTGTTCCTTAAACTAAAACAAAAACAATCAGTTTAATTGGTAATTAGATACATAACGTAATATCTCAATTTTCTCATCGATTAGTCCTTTGACGATAGCAACTAAATACCATCATAAAGTCCACTCCATATTGACGCATGTATTATTATTAAGTCTTTACATTTGAGTGTCATCAATATACAGGGTGTCACGTTGGATATGGATCATACCAAATAAATAATAATCAGTAAAGATATTTAATGTTTCCTTAAATGTATGGACAAATGGTCAAACATGCATAGATTTAATGCGCATGTGTGTCCTTGTTACTTGCATTTGTGTCATTGACCTCTAAATATTTGAGTATTGAAATATCTTCTCCACTGAAATATCATTGAGATCTATATAATCTAACTTCTTGAAATTCATCTATACTTTACTGCTCAAATTCTTTAAAATGGTATGTAATCAAGAAAAGGGCAAAACTCCCAAATCGGAATGGATACAGATCAGAATAGAGCAAGCGTTGTGTTTAGTTGAGATAAGACGAGGACTGAGTGACAGAATTTATGACATTGATCTTGTAGCACTGAAGATTGATTTTTATGTTCAACCATTTTGTTTGTTATCTTAGTCTAACATCAACACAGAGTCTATAGTTTTGATAAGATGTTTATCTGTGCATTAGATACACTTTGTAATCTAATCCTGTATGAGCATTACTTGTTGAACAGCTGATTGTGATGGATTCCTCTGAAGCCTGAGCATGATCAACAGCAGGCTCAACAGTAACATCTTTATTTAAAAACCCACAAACACATTGTAAAACATGTATACAAAAACAACTTGAGGCAACATAGGAAATTAAAACAAAAACAACACTAAGCACCTAGTAATACCACTAATATAAATGTTATGCTTATGATAAAACCAAAAACACAATAAATGATTTGAGGAAAAATACTAGAAATACACCCTATAATATAACAATCCAAAAACATTACTATTTTATTTTCAAAAATGATAATCTTATGCGCAAAGCCCTCACTTAAACGACGTTGTTTTACAATTCAAATTAGTTGAGTTGTGTAACAACCATTTGCATATAAAACACAACATATTATCAGAATAACTAACAACCAAGGGGTCACCAAAATAAAATAGTGCCTTTGAACCACTTTATCAGAATAACTAACAACCAAGGGGTCAATACAATGTAAAATAGTGCCTTTTAACGCACATTATCAGAATAACTAACAATCAAAGGGTCAATACAATGTAAAATAGTGCCTTTCAACGCACATTATCAGAATAACTAACAACCAAGGGATCAATACAATGTAAAATAGTGCCTTTCAACGCACATTATCAGAATAACTAACAACCAAGGGGTCAATACGATGTAAAATTGTGCCTTTGAACCCACTTTATCAGAATAACTAACAACCAAGGGGTCAATACAATGTAAAATAGTGCCCTTCAACGCACATTATCAGAATAACTAACAACCAAGGGATCAATACAATGTAAAATAGTGCCTTTCAACGCACATTATCAGAATAACTAACAACCAAGGGGTCAATACAATGTAAAATTGTGCCTTTGAATCCACTTTATCAGAATAACTAACAACCAAAGGGTCAATACAATGTAAAATAGTGCCCTTCAAAGCACATTATCAGAATAACTAACAACCAAGGGGTCAATACAATGTAAAATTGTGCCTTTGAACCCACTCTATCAGAATAACTAACAACCAAAGGGACAATACAATGTAAAATAGTGGCCTTCAACGCACATTATCAGAATAACTAACAACCAAGGGGTCAATACAATGTAAAATAATGCCTTTCAACGCACATTATCAGAATAACTAAAAAGCAAGGGGTCACCAAAGCATAATATTATTAGAACATTTGCAAGAACTTGTCTTGTAAAATCTACTTGAAGTTACCAGTACCTTATTGTGAAATCTTCAGGCATCTTTTTGAACATTTCACAGCAGTTGTGGATATGACGTCATTTATTAAATTATGTCATGCAGTTGAATCTTGTTCTGTGATTTCTCATCATGGAATTCAAGTCTTGTTTTAGTTACGAGAGACAGAGACCTAAAGAGCAGCTATGGTTTGTTATCAGATTAAATGAATGACATAACTGGCAGAAGTTACGAAAACTAAGATACTGAAAATCCCACACACCTGATAATTTAACGCTTTTCAAATGAATCGATTTCTCTCCATTGCTGAATGTTAATCATTGCTGATGGGATATCAAAGTGCACTACTTTCAATATGACGTTTTAACCATGCATTGATTGTAAGCTCGTGGATTGAAATGAGTCCTTCCGCCAAAATTTCTTCTAATATTCTTCGGCAGATGATTTAAAACAGAGAAAACAGATTTACGGATTTTCTTCAAATCCAATATTTTGATTTGCAAAGTTAAAAATGAACTTATACAATGGGACACGCTATGCTGTGGAATCATTTCTATTCTTTTAACTGTTCTACTTTACTACTGTTCCAATTTGCCTTGGTGTGGTGGTTGTTTTGATCCATTTTAACTCATTTCCACTCGAGAATTTAGAGTTTACATATTTCTTTCTGAATATTTGAAAAATGGCGATATGATTGACCAAGTGTTTGTGTATCTGGAAAACAATAAACAATCTGCAATAGCTCTACTTATGGCAATTATCTCAACCTACCACTGCCTATAATTCTCCTCAGGTAACTTAGCTAAGTCTATTTCGTTTTGCTTTAAAATCTGAATTAAGGGTCTGGTGTCAGTCTATTTGGGCCACTGCTAATTCCATTCTTTTCTGAACTATTTTACGATAGGAACATGACTTTATCTATATTTTATCAACGGGACTCCACCTACTTCTTCGTTCTCAATTCCGTATTTATTTTGATGTTTACCAAAATAGACCATAGGAGAGCATTTAAAGTCAGAATGTGCGAAAACACACATCTTTAAGAAGTTCACTGGAAAGAAATGCCAGAAAAGCAAAATATGTCAGGGTAGATTTAGCGAACATTGAGCAGTAGGCCTCTAAGTAATGCACTGTCTGTACCACATGCTAGGAAATGAGAAAGCTTGGTCCACTACCTAATCCGCCAGGATATTCACAAAAATAAAACTGAAATGCGAAAGCACAAGTGGCAATTGTCAAACAACGCAAACACATATGAAACTCAATAAACTATATTCAATAGATAAAATCATTATTAGTCATTATATTAATATTTTTCAGCGATCTATATCTATATTTACTCTCTCTCTCTCTCTTATATTACATATTACACACGCCTATATTAGGTAATTAGTTAATAATATAAAGTTTAATATATTCAGAACAGAAAAAAATGGGTAACACTGTGACAGCAAAGGAAGAGAAAAACGACACCACTTGCAAATAACATCATCAATCCAAATTATGATAATGAATATTAAAGCGGCTATTTTGCCCAATTTACAAAGACAAAATGAATATCCCACTATTGTTCATTTACTTATCAATAAAAAAAAATTGTTGATATTTTTACATTTAACTCTCCTCGTTACTCATTGATATAATTCATAATGAAGCAGTTTATATAAAAATATGGACGGACGGACGGACGGACGGACGGACCATAGACCAGTAAAAAACACTACAAGAGAACAGTCTTATACAAAGAAATTACAATAGGTAATGGTAATAATTACTAATCACTGTAATCAATAACCAATAAATCAATGTTAGGATCTCTATTTGATTTTCAGCTTTGATTACTTTAAGATATATGAAAATATGGTAATTCCGCG